CGCGCGCTGGGAGTAAAAATAAAGTATTCGAATTCAAAAATATTTTTGATTGTCAAAAGTATTCGAATACAAGATATTTGATTGTAACGTTTTTAGTTCGTTACATGTCCTGTATATGATATATGATGTCTGGCGTATCATCACCAGATTCCGTATCGCTCAGGCCTGATAATTTACTTGACGCGCCTGGCGTAATTTTTACGTTCTCTAGTCAACAACCCTGTTATCGTTTCACTGCTTCTGTGGAGGGCTGTCAAGATCGTTTCAAGGCGCCTCTCCGCGCTTAACTTCACTTTGGGTTTGGCCGTCGGCTATCTCAATACTCCCGACTTAGAGAAATTGCAATTATTTAAATCTTGCTGTATAATTTGAATCGGCTGCCATTTCGAAGCTACAGGTAAAGATGAGTTATTATCTTTTTTAGATTCGTTATTATTATTGAATATTTTTAGGGTAGAGTTTTGGATTGGCCCACCTAACTCGTATTTGTATTTTGCTGGTACATTGGTGTTCTTTCGTTTTGTCCTCCAGAATGTTACATGGAAGAAAGGACAGTTTCTTTGTTTATTATTGAGCCATCGGAAGTATTTCGAGGTAGGTTTATTTTGTTTATTACACCTTGGTAGGTTTTAAATACGAGTTTTGTATTTTTAGGGTCCTATGGTTGGATGCCCTATGTACGGATGTCCTGTGGACGAGTGTCCCATGTAGGATGGTTTATCTTTTATATAGAGTGCCCCAGCGTGGATGTAGCTTGAGCCCCATGCTGCTTCTTTCCCATTTCTAAGCCTAGTCAATAATTACGGCTGTATTGATTCATGGTGTACAGAGATGCGAGCCCACCTCACGCTGTTACTGTTTGAAGCATGATTGCATAAAGAACAGCTAAGTGTAGATTTAAGTTCTAGTTTTCAGTCGATTTTCAGTCTTAACATAATAACGTACATTTTAAATAATATCGTACAGACTATGTTTAGTGGTTAGATCGTTAAGAACATTTATGTCGATTTAGTAGTTACAATATGATTTAGATCTTAGGTTTCATTACATTACGTCTTGTAATAGTAACTTTTTTCTATACATATTATTATTGCGCTATTTCCACAGATGATAACCAAACATAGATTCTAGAATCTACTGGTTGCAACATCTTCGATTTAACATCATATAAAATATATCAAATTAATTAAAGTAATGCTACCTTTTATGCATTTTCTATAACTTTACATGTATTGTATTTTTTTATAGTCTTTTCATTGAATATATTTAATATTATTCCTAACATAGCTTTACTCGACATATAACCACTATAATAATTATTAAAATTGTACAATGCTATTTACCATCAGAATACATCATGAATGAATATAGTCACTAGTTTTAAGTAATAAACAACTGTGTTTTCTTTCCCTGTTCATGCCTGGCGCCCAATATTTGTATTTTCGATTTATTATTGTTAGTTAGTTTCTTTCCAGTGAAATACCTTATCCACGACTGCTCTACCAACGAAAAGCTGCCGTTCGCAGTGATAATGTTTAAAAAAACACAATTAATAAAAAATAATTAGATTTTCCTCCTCTTCTATGCACTGTTACATGACAACATGACTATGTGTACAAGTCGTTGCTTATTCATACAATCGTACATTTCACTTTTTGTAAAAAGTATTAAATGTCGTTGATATACAGAATTTATTTATATTGCGTCGCAGTAGGTATATAGATAAATTAGAACCGACAATCGGATAAAGGTATAAAGCAATTTTCTAAAATAAACTGCAAATTTATTCTATTGAAAATGTCAGAGCTCACGCAATTTCAAACTCTGATATATGTATAGATTTCGTTTATTTATTTTTCTTCGAAGAAAATAATTTATTCCGATTTTGAAAAAAAAAGAGAAAAATACAACACTGATTTTTTAATTTATTGTTTGGTATTGATTTATTGGCGCGAGTTTTCTTTTATTAACATCTATCAAAATAATTTGCGGCAAGGTTAATGTAGCAGTAAATTATTAGCTAGTTTGATTAAATTACCAAACTGGCTAAATTATTATTTATACGGTATATATTATATACGGTATTACAAACCAATCGACGAAAGAAAGACCGCCGTTAGATGGTTTTACATATTTATAGTCGGTCCAACGACAAAATCGTGAACAGTGATAGATGTGTCTGTCAATTTAATTTAAAGTAGTTTATTTTGTTTTACAAAGAAATAAGTTGGTACAATAATTGGAACGCATAGCAGAAAATTAATTTATTTACAATTTGAGTGACAAGTGATTACTTCAAAATATTGTGAAAAAAACTGTATAAAACTGAAAAAATCTAATCCAAGAAGCAAGCACTGTTCATTAAAATGTTGTATCCTATGTTATAGGGCTTGTTTCTCTCTACAATAATTTCCTGTCTCACATTGTACCTTTTGTGTCCGGGAAGGGATCATAGTTTCATAGTTGTCGATTTTCGAAAGAAATCAGTTACGTGTATATTATTTCGTATATTTTTCATTTTATTGATTTTATGGAAAGCACTGTTCATTAAAATGTTGTATCCTATGTTATAGGACTTGTTTCTCTCTACAATTTCCTGTCTCACAATATACCGTTTGTGTCCGGGAAGGGTTCATAGTTTCATAGTTGTCGATTTTCGAAAAATATCAGTACATGTATATTATTTCGTATATTTTTAATTTTACTGATTTTATAGAAAGCACTGCTCATTAAAATGTCGTATCCTATGTTATAGGGCTTGTTTCTCTCTACAATTTCCTGTCTCACAATATACCGTTTGTGTCGGGGAAGGGATCATAGTTTCATAGTTGTCGATTTTCGAAAGAAATCAGTACATGTATATTATTTCGTATATTTTTAATTTTATTGATTTTATAGAAAGCACTGTTCATTAAAATGTTGTATCCTATGTTATAGGACTTGTTTCTCTCTACAATTTCCTATATCACAATGTACCGTTTGTGTCGGAGAAGGGAACATAGTTTTATAGTTGTCGATTTTTGAAAGAAATCAGTACATGTATATTATTTCGTATATTTTTCATTTTATTGATTTTATGGAAAGCACTGTTCATTAAAACGTTGTATCCTATGTTATAGGGCTTGTTTCTCTCTACAATTTCCTGTCTCACAATGTACCGTTTGTGTCCGGAAAGGGTTCATAGTTTCATAATTGTCGATTTTCGAAATAAATCAGAACATGTATATTATTTCGTATATTTTTCATTTTATTGATTTTATGGAAAGCACTGTTCATTAAAATAGTTATTTTAATAATAGTTTATTTTATTTTACAGAGAAATAAGTTGGTACAATAATTGGAACGCAAAGCAGAAAATTAATTTATTTAAAATTTGAGTGACAGGTGATACTTCAAAATATTGTAAAAAAAACTGTATAAAACTTAAAAAAATCTAATACAAGAAGCAAGCACTGTTCATTAAAATGTTTTATCCTATGTTATAGAGCTTGTTTCTCTCTACAATCTCCTGTCTCACAATGTACCGTTTGTGTCCGGGAAGGGATCATAGTTTCATAGTTGTCGATTTTCGAAAGAAATCAGTACATGTATATTATTTCGTATATTTTTCATTTTATTGATTTTATGGAAAGCACTGTTCATTAAAATATTGTATCCTGGGTTATAGGGCTTGTTTCTCTCTACAATTTCCTGTCTCACAATATACCGTTTGTGTCCGGAAAGGGTTCATAGTTTCATAATTGTCGATTTTCGAAATAAATCAGAACATGTATATTATTTCGTATATTTTTCATTTTATTGATTTTATGAAAAGCACTGTTCATTAAAATATTTATTTTAATAATAGTTTATTTTATTTTACAAAGAAATAAGTTGGTACAATAATTGGAACGCATAGCAGAAAATTAATTTATTTAAAATTTGAGTGACAGGTGATACTTCAAAATATTGTGAAAAAAACTGTATAAAACTGAAAAAATCTAATACAAGAAGCAAGCACTGTTCATTAAAATATTGTATCCTGGGTTATAGGGCTTGTTTCTCTCTACAATTTCCTGTCTCACAATGTACCGTTTGTGTCCAGGAAGGGATCATAGTTTCATAGTTGTCGATTTTCGAAAGGATCTACCAGTTCTACTTTCATTTATGCGAATTAATAAATTATCAGGGTGCGATTATGTTACTATGCAATATAGATGTGCCTTTTGTTTTTTTGCAAATAATAAATAGCACTGACATTAAGACGTCATTTAGATAAATCGCGATTTTTTAACGAGAAAATAGTGAATAATGAACCAGCAAGTCAGATTTTTAAGAAAAATGATCCAGGAAGATCTTCCGCAAGAAATTATTAACCAGGCAGAGGCGGCTACAGCACAAATACTGCCAGAAAAGTCTCGTGGCGTATATGATAGGGAATTCATAACACACTAGCTTGTCATAACTTCAAAAACTCACGCGTGTGTTATTATTTATTTTATATGCATGTATACATGTAAGTAATGTCTGTATAAGTAGTGGCTGTTGGATAAATATATTTTTTTCTCTCGGTAAAATAGTACAGGTACAGACGAAAAGTTATTAATCTTCAAAACAATTAAAATCATATAGATTCCTCCCTATATGTAGCAGTCATATTACTGACATCGAAACCGAATTTATCATATCAAAAAACACTCGGACCCCAATTTTCATCCAAATATCGTTAATTAAGAAATTAATTGGAAAAACCTAAATAAAATTTAAACTTCTACACCCTGGATTTCCTCGTGGATTTCCGAAATGAAGTCATTTTAGAACATAGATTTATACGAACTTTTTTACTTATTTTTATCTATAGAATATGTTGCCGAAGTTTACCGAATACAATTTGGACCACCCTGTAGATATTCTTTCTTTTGTCAATGAATACATTTTGATCCTCTTCTACTTGTTTTTCACTGTACCTACTTCCAAGAACTTAAAATTATTTATTAACATTGTTTGTTTTCTATTTTCAGGGCGCCGGCAAATGGGACAGAGATAAAGTTGCACGATAAGGTAAGCCTTTCATAATCCTTTTAATGGCGTGTACTTTATTTTTCCACTGAAATGGAGAAATAAAGTTGGAAACAGTGGATTATTCTTTTTTAAGATGGCGCAAAATTTGTTTTGTGTAAGAATACAACGGATAATATTTATTGTTCCTTTAATTTTCCGGATTATGTCGTTTTTGTTAGAGATTGCATTACCGGTTTATAAATTTACCGGTTAAATGTCGTGAAAACGTGGTAAAATATTACAGGCAAATCGTCTTCAAATACCGGTAATTTCGGTAGTCATTAAAAAAATAAATATACAACAGTCTAGAAGCAGGAACGCCAAATTTTCCAGAACTCCAGAAAAAGTTCGAAGTCTTTATTTCGGACTGCTTTTGTGATTGCAATAGATTTATTAAACAGCCTCTACACTATGCGAAAAACTCTTCGAAACATGTCAAGGTCGCATTTCGTCGCCCAACTTTGACGCATTTCGATTTATTTCCAGTTGTCTTGACCCACTTCGGTTTGCCTCGACCTACTTTCGATTCTTTAAAGCGCCTGAAAACTACTCGTGAGGAGGGCATGGGGGGATTTTTAGCGTTTTTTGTTGTCTCGTTCAATTTTGTTTTGTTTTGAGCCATTTCAAAAAAGTGGCGGTATCTGTATGCGAGGCAAAGGATTTTTTTCATAAATCTCAGTGAAATAAGTAAACCTGGACGTTTCTAAAATAGCTGTTGTTTACCATGATATTTCGTTAATTACATCTCATCTCATTTTTATATTGATATACATATATATATATATATATATATATATATATATATATATATATATATATATATATATATATATATATATATATATATATATATATATATATATATATATATATATATTCCACTAAAATTAATATTTGAACACGCGTTTATTAAATGTATAGTAGATATTTAGGAACAAAACTTTTTACTTGCTTACTACCACTGCGAACGGCAGCTTTTCATCGGAGAGCAGTTATGTATAAGGTATTTCACTAGAGAGAAAACTACTCAATAACAATAAACAAAAAAATACAGATATTGGGCGCCAGGCATGTACAGAGAAAGAAAACACAGTTGTATATTACTTAAAACTAATGAATATAATTACAATATTTTTATGATTAAATTTTATTATAATGAATTAGTATATAAAATTGTATATCGTCAGTGAAATGTCATAACCTGCTAACTCCATTTTTTACGTTAATAAATTTTTTTTATACCATTAGAAGGAGAAAAAAATGCTCTATAAGTAGGGAAAGAATACATTTTTTCCCATTAAAGAAAATTTGCTATTTTAACGCAATAATATCTGCTAACTCCCAATGATCTGAAATAGCCACCGAAATGCTGCTATCTCCATAATTTCCGTTATGATCACGCTAAAGCAAACTCACGGATTCTTACTCGTATGTTTCTTTAGTACAGTACGTCGATTCAGGGTCGCACTAGGCCAAAGGGGTGGCAAAGGAAGGAGGGGCCCGTGTGGATTTTTTTGCGTATTTTTGCGCCTTATGGTTTGGTCAATTTTTCCCTATTATATACAGGGTAAATCTTAAATAAGTGCAAATATTTTTAGGGGTAGTATATTTCGACCCAAGAAACACGATTATGAGTTTTTTTGCGCGAATTTTTTTTTGAAAATTTGGAATTTTAAAAAAAAATTGAATTTTTTTTAATTTTTAGTTTAAAAACATACTTTGTTTGCAATATGGCAACATAGGTAGTAAACTAAATTTACCAGAAAGAAAATTCTCAAAATTATAGCAAAAAATTGGAAATTTTAAAAGTGAAATAACTCGGTTGTTTTGGATTTATTTGAAAAAACGGTAAAGAGAAAATATTATGTTTCTTTTATTGAGATTTACTAGCCCAGAAAATATTTGCACTTATTTAAGACTCAACCTGTATAGAAATCAGGGAACTACCCTAATGCAAGGTAAACAAATGCAATGCAAATGCCATAATGCAATGCAAAAGCAAATATTGTTAAGAATAAATAATGAACCATAAAGGGGGCCCACGAAGACTGGGATCCATCTAATAGTTATATATATAATATGGCCAATCCGACCCTGCGAGTTCTGTAAATACGGGGTATCCCTAAAGGGTAAAAGGAAAAACGAAATTCTCTATATACGAGCAATTCATCGGCGTGCTATAAATAGTTTAAATAACCATTACTTACTTGTACAAGAATTTCCATAATACCTAATCAGTTTTATTTTTTTCAACGTTTTTCCACGTAATTCCACGTAAATGATACATAATTTTTATAAAAATTAAAAAAATAAGGAGAAAAGTAATAAAAATTTAATAAAATCACGCACTGTTTTTGTTCCAAGCTGGATCTACTACCGTTGTATAAAAATTAGGAGAAGCATGGAAGGATTCTACCATATCTTCTAAGAATTATAAGTTTAATTTTTAAATTACTTTCATATTCATTAAGTCCAAAATGCTGCTACTTCAGTTCTTTAAAAATGCAATAAAAATCTATTCGTTTTTGGACTTGTATGTTTTGCTTCTAGACCGACGATATTATAAATATGTATGGTTATGAATATCATATTTTTTAAATTTAATTGATTATTTCTAAATCTGTTTAGGTAATATTCAATTCCATTTTCAAAATTGCAAACAATAAAGGTTGCTATCTCCACAAGTATATTTTTATTTCTTATTTCTGCAAGACGAATATCTGCTATCTCCCTATTGTGTTTGAAAAAAATGATCTAACACGAAATATTGAGTTATATTGTTCCTCAGCAAATAAAATTCTTATCTCTTTATTATATTAACGCATGAAAATACTTCCTACATGTGTACATATTTTTTTGTACTGTTTTTTTGCTCTTCTGTAAAATTAGGAATAATAGAGTTAGCAGTTTATCGTCATTCATCGACGATATGATATTGTTACGGATTCCGTGGGTCCACTAATTTAAACTCACGATAAAATACTTAACGTATTTATTTTCTCACTTTATACACAATTACTAACTTATAACACACAACAACTAACTATTTATAAGATTCCTTCACCAAATTGTCCGATTTTCAATTTCCACGCGGTATATTCAAATTTCAAAAACTCTCTCAGTTGTCGATGGCTCCGGCTTATATACTCTATTGACTGCTTCTCGAAATTTCCCCAATTCTCGGAAAGCGTACTTCTTCATACCAGACAATTCTATTGTCTGATTCCCCTTACTTCTCGACTTGACTAAAGATGGCGCCTGAAAAGTCTTTTAATTTCTGGCGGATACGTTGCGGTTGTGCAGGCAACCAGTAATACATTTTTAATTTCTGGCGGATAGGCCATTTTTCTTGACATTGCCCCCTTCTCAAATTTGATCGTCCCGATCAAGGTTTCCTGTCTGAATCTCTTCAATCGATCCAGATGAACTACTTTCATCTTACTTCTAGGGCTGCGTTGAATCCGGTACACAACATCATTTATCCTCTTGATGACTGTATAAGGACCTTCCCATGCTGGAGTTAACTTTGGGGACCTCCCTTTCTTGCGCTGTGGGTTATATAACCATACCATATCGTCCTGTTGAAATCCCGTAGAATTGGCTCTGAGGTCGTAACGAGCTTTCATCCGGTCACTGGCTAGCGTAATCTTACTTCTTACGGCCTTATGAATTTCCATTAACCTTTCCTTCAGTTCATCCGCGTAGTCCTCTACATTTGTGGTGCCGTCGTCTGGTGATCCGAACACCAAGTCACAAGGCAACCGTAATTCTCGACCAAATAAAATCTTCGATGGTGAAAGTCCGGTGGTGTTGTGAACTGCACTTCTATACGCCATTAGGAACAGCGGTATGTGTTGATCCCAATCTCTTTGATGTTCGGCCACCATTTTCGAGAGGTGTTCTTCAATGGTCTTATTGAATCTTTCGACCATCCCATCAGACTGCGGATGTAAAGCTGTTGTCCTAGTCTTGTGAATACCAAGCAGATCACACATCTTCTGGAACAGTCTTGACTCGAAGTTCCTTCCTTGGTCAGTGTGAAGCTCTAAGGGAATTCCAAATCTACTGAAGACATTATTGACCAATACTTCAGCTACATCGATGCTTCTTGGTTTGGAATGGCAAAAACTTCTGGCCATTTACTGAAATAATCCATCGCCACTAAAACGTACTTGTTGCCCTTGTGCGTTTCAGGGAATGGGCCTGCAATGTCAACAGCGATTCTTTCGAATGGCAGTCCAACGTTATATTGTTTCATTTTTCCCCTAGATCGAGTGCTTGGTCCTTGGCTGGCTGCACAAATTTTACATTGTCGACACCATTTCTTGACATCTTCGCAATAATCCACCCAGTAAAAGCGATCTCTCAGCTTGCTCAAGGTCTTGTTTACCCCAAGATGGGCTCCAGTTTTACCACCGTGAATTTCTTCCAATACCTGGGTAACTTTCTTCCTTGGTACCAGTAACTGAGTTGTTACTGTGCTGCCATCCGCACTTTCCCACGTGCGCTTTAACAATCCATTCTCAATAACCAGTGAATTCCACTGAGCCCAGAGTGCTTTGAAAACGAGCCCTCTGTCCGCAATATCCTGCCACGGTGGTCTCTCGCCGTTACCTTCCTTGAGCCGTAGTATTGCTCCGATGTCTGGATCTTTCATTTGATCTTTCCTCAACTGTGCCGTCGTCCACTGTTCATCAGCTCCAAGCTTAAAACTCCTTATTCTGATAGTGCTTTCGCGATGTTTCATTTTCTTGTCCAAGGTAGCTCGTCGTCGATCTAGGTCGTTGTCGATAATTTGTACCCGTCCTACACGGCACCCAGCGGTTTTCTCTAGTTTCCCGAACACAGTCTTCTTGGTATCACCAGGTATCATCACAGTTTCCGCTGATCTTACATCCATTCTGCCTGGTCCCTCGTCTGGAGATAACATGAACTCTTCATTTCCAATATTTAAGATATTTCTCTGGTGATCGAACGAAAATCCATGTTGACGAATCACA